AATTGTGTCAGAATCCTGTAACTTTCTCTTATTTCTAGCTTACCGAGAACAGATGAATGTTTTTTATGTAATTGTGGTCTGACAACAATCAGGCTTTCAAACAAAATAAGTGCGGCACAAAATATATAAATGAGAATAATCATTAGAGATGCAGGATACTACATTCTCGCTGATATCCAACATGTCAACATTTTCCAACTCATTCTGGCTGACTGCCGTTGCTGATGTATCCCCGTATTTTTTCCACCTAATTGCAGAGAACGTAAAATCTTTTAAGTTAAGTTATTACACACACTCTTACCATTAAGGCCCACTGTCAGGTACAGACATAAAATACGCTTTTTAAATGTGCGCATTCACTGGACAAATGTATGTAAAATATGCCATATTTACTTTTATGTTACATTTCAAACAGAACTGTAAATTCATAGGCTGCCTGTCAGTGTTTATTCTGGGCCCATGCGACCATTTCATTTTTAAGCCTTTTATTGGCTGATTCTGACGATGGTGCCAATATCATTGTGCATCCTCCGTAATTAGTAGTAGAAGCTTGTGTCAGGTGTGATGCAGTGCCAGCACCTCATCACACAGGCATCATTATCAGCAACCTTACACATCTTCACATGAGCCGAAGGCAAACGAGCTCCAACTCATCACTCAAACTCTCATTTGTCGCAAGTGGGGTGAACGTGTCACAGAGCCAGTTGTTAATAAGTCATCCCAGCTGCTCCTGTTGATTATTACTGTCATTACTTTAATTATCTTCAATTCTGCCGCCGATATGAAAGAGTCTCAGTCTACAGCCATTTATGAATGCCACATTTACTGCTTTTAATGCCGACGTTCGGAATGACACTCTTTCATCTAATTATGAGTTATGCTCAAGAGTCAGTGTAGCTGTTGGCAAAGAAACAGTGAACTCCACTGAAAAAGAAAGCACAATTTATTTTGTTCTTATAGTCCTTGACGCATGTATTTGGTTCTCCTCCTCTTCTCCCTTCCCTCTTTTTTTTTTCTTTTTTTTTTGTGCCATCGTGTACCTCCCTCCGAACCAGCGCTGCTTGCTGAAGACAGATGGTGCACCCAAAAAACGTTGCAGGGTGATTGATACCTGCAGAAATTGGGTTACATTTGGCCCTGTCTCTGTCTGTAAACTCCACTGCCAGTGATTCATAGAGAAGTGGTAAAGAGCACCTCTGTAGCCCCTTGTGGCTGGAACAGGTGTGCAGGAATTGGTACTGTCTGGAATACTTACTGAGAGGGTTCGGGGCATCTCAGTTCCCAGTTTTCTATACAGCTGGAACTGAGGCTTTAGATTTTCAGAGTTGATCTAGTTAACAGTAACATATAAGCAAGATTTAACGGTAAAAAAGACGAGTGAGAAAATGATATGAGATACTTAGACGATTTTGATCTGCTGTGCAGGATGACCTTGCAAAACTTTTAACACATTCTCAACTGTATGTCTAACTTATTCCAGGAGCTAAAAGAGACAGAGGAGCTAGACATCCAGCTAAGGGTGTTCAATGAGAACAAGGAGGAGGACTCCATCGAACTCTCCCATCGCCTGGATGACATTCGCGCTGAGATGGAATATCCTTTTGTCCTCCCTCTGTGTGAATATACAGATGAACGGGTCTGCAGAACTAGCAGCCAGGAGATGAGTGTATATTGTGGGTTTGGTCAAGATTTATAGGCTAAAGCCCCCTCATGACTTTGTTCATTAGAGAAGGATTACAGGAGCCAGAGCACAATATCCAGCTCCATCTCTGGCCAGGTATACTAGGTAAATAACCCTGTCATCTTAACCTCTAACCTCTTCACACTTCTTTTTATTTACTCTTCTCCTCCTCTCAATCTCCTCTTCACTTCACTTTCTCTCCTTTGCCTGTTCGTATTGGGTTAAGTAGGACTGTAGTAAGACTCAAGAGGTTTCAGATGGACATGTGCTTTCCTGTTTTTATAGTTTATTATGCACAGTAGACTATTTTAATGTGGAATAATATTCTGCTACATTGTAACATTTACTTTTTACCGTGTAACTTTAGTCTCTTCTTGTTTCTCTGTTCTATTTTCGAAAGCTGAATTTTGTCCTCTAGCTCTCTATGAATGTCCATTTAACTCCAAACATTCAGAGTAGAAGTTAATAAGGTGAGAGCTAATTTAGTCCCAAGTTGGAAACTTCTTCACGCATCCAGGAGAAGAACCGTTTAATAATTCACAAATCTTCTCTAAGGCTATGTATGAATGGCTGACATTGTGAGCAGACAAACCAGACTCTGACATTGTTATGCAGATGTTCATTCCCACAACCATTTTCCTCCACCAAATCCCACAGTTCTAGTACAGGCACAAAGTGCCACTGTGAGTGACAGTTTCTGTTGACACATGTAGGTGAGGGGAGGAGGTTGTGTATGTGTGTCTGTGGAGAGACGATGGAGAGGGAAAAAAAAGTGCACCTGGATTAATGATGTGCTTGAGCAGGTTCACAAATGAGAAGGCTCAATGTTTGTTTCTAAGGACAATGTGGTATTGATCTGTGAGGTATGAGCATGATTCGAATGCCGAGGCTACCCTTTGTCCCTTTGCCTGCATAACACACACACACTCTCACACACACATGCATGTGTATATGCATGATATCATGCAGGTAGTGCTTCCTCTACCTGAACATTGCATATGTGTCTTGTTTTTCTCAGCAGTCTCATGAATATTAACCTGAAGAGGCTTGTCTCCGCTGTGTCCGGCCCAGGTCCAGGTGCCGAGGAGGTGACTCCAGGCCCCTAATAAATATTAATGAGCTGTGGAATGGTGATTGATTGACCCTACCACTGATTGGCCTACATCACACTTGACTGCCACTCATGTTTATTCATTATTTGGAGAGAGAGTATAAAGAGAGACAGAGACTGAGAAAGAGAGTGCAGAGGGGGGTGCCATTGACAAGATTGGCGTTTTACATTAGGTTTATGTCTGCAGTTTAGTGATAGATGAAGCTAGTTGGATGCTTTCCCAGTGTGAGCTCCTTCTCATGTCCTCTCAAATGCTGCTGTGGTGAGGCTATAATTGAATCTCACAGGATTGGTAATTCTCCCAGGCTTCATATTCAGCTAATGCAGGGGAGGGAAATGATACTGTGGAGGAGCCTGTATTCCCATCCGTGTTTCTCTAAAAAATTTGAAATGGGATAGGAGTTTAATTAAAGACATTGTTGAAATTAATAGGAAAAGTGTCAAACTGTATTTAAAAGAATTGATCTGCTCCAGTTGCGGTGTCTGCAGATTGTTTTGTATAGATGGTAGCAAGCCCAGCCACCTTAAGATCTTAAAACTGCCTCTGCATTCACCTGATATTTTCTGTACCAAAAGCAGAAGGGAGGGGAATCACAACATATGGAGCCACCGTGTTGCAAATGCTACTTGATTGCTTTGCACTCAATATGTTGCTATGTGTAAATATTTTAACACACGTTGTCAGGATCCACACTTCATGTTAGAATGGCAATCAGGTTTTCATCTCTGCAAGCTTAACAGTGCACCATCTCCCTCGTCTACTTTTTTTTCTGCATGTGTGCACATATCTGAGAGGCTTATTCCACTTTTTCAGACAAGATGAGCCTCCATTGGGAAATCCTCCTTTCTCGAGCAAACAAATTAAATAGACTCCAAATCATTAATTTTCCTCAGTTCTTTACTTCTTAGAGCTGCACTTTCAGAACACTATTAGATGTTTGAGAAACACAAATTTAATATTTTCTAAATTGATCTTGTACTACAAATCAGCCATTAACATGAAAATTGAATTTTGGAATTCGTTTCAATGTGCATGCTCGTCTTCTCCTATACTGTATGTTCAATAGAGCTCACGTTGTTTTTGAGGCAATAATCTCAATATCAAAGTCTGTGAATATGATCTGGTATGGACAAATACTTTTTGAAACAAATACTCAGCAAGTTATCAAAAAAAAAAAAGGTACTCTATCATATTTAACATGAAGAATAAAAAGTAAGACAGTTTGATTTAACATCCGTTTTAGATGTCAGAGCCATCACTACTTCCTCCTGGGGAAAGAAAACATAAGACATATAATCAATAGCTTTTGCAAATTTAATAACATGAATTTTTGCTCCTGAGTACATGTCAGTTTCAATCTGAGAACTGAACCTCAGCCATATTTTTTTTTGCCCTGCAAACGACTGGATTCCTATCATTCTTGGCATAAACATTCAAACCAGTGAGTTTTTCATGTAATTAATTTCCTCTATCTTGAAAGGTCTGGAGTGACAGGTAAACCAGAGGGAGCATTCTTCATTGCCAGTCCCCCTCCTCAAGTTAGCTGTTTACACTGTTTTAGCTCCCCCGAGAGAGAATGGATAAGAGGAATCACATCTCTGTTTGCTTTTGCACAGTGATACCTGTCAGAAAACCTGAGTTGAGGAACCGGGGAAAATAATGAAAACGGAAAGTAATAAAAATTTAAATGTTTACAGGGGTTGAATGCACCTGAATAATGAATTCAAACTGGGTGTCTTCTCAAGAAGTTAACCTTAACAGCTAACTGTATTAACTTTACAATATAGCACTGTAATAAAGTTGTTTTCCTTAACCTTGCCCCTGCACCGATATGAATGAGGTGTACCATCTCCTGTCCAACATGGTGAAAGACACTGGCTCTGAGGCATACTTCCTGTCAATTCTTCAGCACCTATTGCTCATCAGGAATGACTATTACATCAGGTAAGTTCTGTGTGGTTTTTACATACCACTGGCCTTGTATTGACTGATGACCTTGTGATACATTCTGTCAGTGTGCTTTTATAGCTTCTGGGCTTTTTGTTTTTGCTTTTTTTTTTTTTACAACAGATATAAAACCCAGCTCATACATCACTCTGAACTTATTTGATCATTACTTTGACTTAGAGTTATGGCCGCCATCTGTCTGTCCGTTTGTCTCCAAAATCATATCACAAAATGTCAAAGCCAGGTTGGAGTTTGCGATGTCAGAATAAATCTTTCCCAAATTAAGAGCAGTTTTTATTGAGATGACACATTGAACCAACATCTGCAGGGCACTAGGGAGCGAGATTAGAAGGTTAGCGAGGTATGTTAAGCCTGAAGCCAGAGTTTTCAATGTCAGGGAGGTGACTTTCTCTTTGCCTGTTCAGAATGTAGGTTTTAAATTGGGTGTAAGAAGCAACACCATTTTACCAGTTCTTCTCCTGACAATGTTCTCTCTGAGCAACACAGATTCTGCATTGTTATGCTCAACATAATGTTAGTCATGCTAGTGAAGGAAGTCAACCCATTGGAGTAGCGCAAACGATGTGTGTTGCGTTACCATTGCAACCTTCATGCATATGTTTTCATGCCAGGTCCAGTGGTGGTATTGCAGCTAATAGAACACAGATTAGAAATGTGATGAGTGTGTTGGCATTTATCACTGGGAATATTTCATCAATAACACTGATTTTGCCAGAAACAAAAGTTATTTCCACGTACCCTTCCTAATGGGACATTGTCAGACCTATATGTGCTTCTTGAATATCTTGTGTTGTAGCTACCATTAGTTTGCAGCCTAAAATAATCGTTAGCAAAAAGAAAGAAAAAATAAATTAATTCTAACCTCCTTTTATTCTAAACTATAAAGTAGAAAATGTTAAATTACTCTTTTGTTATTTAAGTTTATTAAGATATTTTAAGTTGTTTGTCTTGCTTCCTGTTTTACCTTTCAAAGAGCAAATATTTCAGTAACAAGAACGGAAGGTCGCAACTCTTATGAATGCAGTGACACTGATGAATTCACTGCTGTGTCAGACCTTTTTGCAGAAATAAGACTTAAAAAAGAAAGTTGGAAGATGAAGGGAGGATGAGAGGAGGAAGATGAATTTACCATAGACAAGTTGCTGTTCCCTTGGACTTATGAATTATGTATTCTTCATCTATTCAGAGGAAGTGAGAAATAGAATTCACATTAACCATCCAGTATCGCCGTGTCCACCTCAGCTGCAGCGTCCATGTACGCCTCTGTAAGCCACCGGTATGAAGGAATCACTACCAATGCTCATGAAAAACTGATGATCTTTTTAAAGATATGTTTTTGATTTTATGTTTTTTTCTCCCCTCCCTCCATTCTAGATAACAAATGCAGGGAGAACCTCGCACACATGCTCACACAAACATTAAGACCAGAAATGCATTATGACTGAGGCATTTTATTCCCCATACATCACTGCTGTGGAGTTGGGATGATGGAGGATGCAGTACTACAGTGCATGCAGCTATTTCCAAATGATACTATCTGTCTTTTTTTTCCAGTCTTCACCCTTAAAGTTAGCAACTTTTCAGGTTGTGGTTAAAATTGGGTGACTGTGAAATAGTGTAGTATTGATGTAGCATTACCACAACGTGGAACAAAAAACAAATTGGGAGGTCAGAGGATGTGCGATGGCAATGTATGATCCCATTAGAAATCATTTAATGGAAGCAGCCTTAGGTTAGGTGGTGCTGTGCGAGGGTTTGACACTTTGTAATCAAAGGAATACATGTGTGCTCATAATATTCTGTCTGAAGTAAGAGATTAAGTGTTGTTTTGCCATTGTGTTCATTGGAATTGAAAGCACGCTTGGTACCTTGATTCTTTTGTCAAACAATAATATTAAATGATAATTCATTAAATATTATAATTAGTATTCTAATAATAAGGCAGACTATAGCGGGTAAGCACTCTGTCTACTGTAATTCCTCCTAACACAACATTAGTTGTTTTTTTCCCCCCCTCCAGGGCTTGGTTTATTTTTGATAATTAATCTCTGACTGCAAGCCTAATGAATGGGAGCACATCAAACCCACCCAGTAAATATAGAGCAGATCTGCTCTTTTGGAGCCTGGTGATATGGGGATTACACTGGTTATGTGGAGCAGAGCTGGATCAAGTGACTGGGGCTGTGCTGAACTGCAAGCTATCACTGGAAGAAATGAAGGTGCCAAAGTAAAAGAAGAGGTGGGGAATGATACAGGGGACATATGTTTGCTTCTGGAGCCCAGCCCTGCCCACTGTGGAGGGGCCTGACAGTTCTGGGTCACTCTCTCTCCGTCTCTAGTTATCTCCACCCAGCCCCTATCTGCTCGGTGGTGGCGGAGGATGGAGGACGAAGGGAAAATAGGGCGGCTTATTGAGATAATAATGTGGTGTACATTGGTGACAGTTGTAAGCCGAGTGCCACAGTGCTTAAGCCATGCAGGGCGATGTGTGAGCTTTCACTAGCTTGTTCTGGTCATGAGTGGGCGAATCCGCCAGCTCAAGCTTAATGTATGGCATTTCATGCTTTCAAAACAGTGCACCTGAATGCTGATTTATTCTTATTTGCTTTGGCTCAGAAATTTGTGCTCTTTCATATTTCTGTTCATAACATGATATGGTCTGTCCACCCACAAGGTATCATCAGAACATAGCCTTTGAATTTATGGGCAACAGTTAGAGGTAAATCCCTGGGGATAAACTTCTTCCTATTTCATGATTGATAATAACAAAGTGCTTTTTATCACGTGCGTTTCTTTTAACTTTGATACATTCTTGGATTCTGTACTTTTTTAGTCTTCTTGGGGGAGAAAAAAAAATGTACCCACCTGGCAACAGCCACTTTGTTCTCAATTCTGCCTACTAAAATCCGTTATTACAATTTAGTAACAGTAATGTTCCTTTCCCTGAATGCTTTCATGTCGAGCCATCAGACAGGCAGGCTTTGATCAGACTTTGAGTACCTTATGTGGATCAAAGTTGTCATAAAATCTCAGGCTTTCGGCATCTGATTTTCAATTATTCATTATTATAAATCACTTGGACAACCTTGGGAAGCTAAAAATGATTAACTCCAGAATATTTCCCATACAGGGATTTGTGAGTCTTCCCGTGTTGACTTTGTCGTCTTCCTGATGTGAAATTATATACCAAAAATAGTTTTCTAAAACAAGAACAGAATTCATCTGTCACTGAAAGCATATTTGGAGTTTTGTACCGTGTGTTTCTGCCTTGGAACACATAGAAGAAGTTACCTTACATTCTGTGCCTAGAAATTAGTTTTTTTTTTTTTTTTTTTTTTTTACAAAAAGGAGATGAAAGGAGTTGATGTGATTTTTGAATCAGAAGGCTGTCCGTTCTCCAGCTGCTAATTTTGTGTTCCTCCTACTAGTTATGTGTAAATTCTGCTCCAGCCCTCTTTCAGATTTCACAGTGCTACACCACAGCAGCCATTGCCCAGCCTAAATGAGTCAAATTAAAACAACATAAAAGTTGTTGTTGTTTGTTGTTTTGGGAAATGGCTCTTTATCATTTTTAGGATGTATTTGTGAGCATCATAAGAGTCCATTTTTTACATTGTGTCTTTAGAGGAATAAAAAAATAAATAAAACAGGAGTTGTTTTAAATTTAAACATCAACTTCTGGTCGATGCTTTGCTTAGAAAATAATTAATTCTCAGTTTGGAGCTCTGCTTAAGCTGCCATTGTATTTGCTAAATGTCACTTGCAATTAAAGTTGATAATGTTACAGAGAAAAGGTCACATACCAACCTGTGTGGTGGAATTGGACTCTCAGGCTGATTCACACACCCTGCTTGACAACGCCAAGCACTCAGTCACACTCCTAACTGGGCGACATGTTTTCCCGGTCATTGTGCTTTCAATTACACACATTACACTGATTAGATTTACATTTCAGTTTTTATGGTTGCTCTAATTGGCAAAGATGATTGCAAATTATGCAAGAGGGCAAGCGTAGCCTGGGCTACCGTCAGTCACCTTGAAATGGACAGACTAACACATACTTGGGTTCTGTGTACCCATTAATCTGCTAATTTCATGATAGGGGTGAAGCAAGTGATCACATTTAATAGGGTGCCTATTTTCTCCAGCAGCACCCTTCCTGACATGGCATTTTGTGACCTCTAGCTCGGATAAGAGAATCATTTGTGGTTAATTAGCCTTGTAGAGTTTGTGTCACTCATATCTTACTGTGGCTTGTCTAATTGTTCTGCTTTGTTTCCTGACCCCTCAGGCCCCAGTACTACAAGGTGATAGAGGAATGTGTATCTCAGGTGGTCCTGCATCGCAATGGAATGGACCCTGACTTTGGCTACAGTAAAAGACTGGAAGTGGACTTCACCCAACTGATTGGTAACTTTGGAATTGCACCATGATTTTTCTTTTTTAACTTCTTACTTTTTAACTTACTTATACATTTCAAACATTGTTGTCAACCTGTCTTCAGAAGTCTAAAATTGGTGATATGATAATGAAAGGTACATAAAATGTGTGTTATAGCTAAGATTCTAGCATACTGAAGTCATCCTCCAGATCATTTTTTTTCTTTTTAAATGATGTGCTTCAGGAGGTCTGTCATCGATATACAAATACAATGCCATTCTCATTATCCTCCTAAGATTCCTGCATCCAAGATATGTATAAGATGATGTCACTCGATTTTCAATGAATAGTACATTTGATTTAGTAAAATGAATTCAGGTAATTTGAAATAATTAGTTTTTTTCCTCAGTTAGGGTTTGTTAGCTGTGTTTGTGGAATCATAGAGAACACATCTATTTGCACTGCATCACTAATGGGGGATTTTTGTTGTTTTTTTTGTTTTTTTTCTAGACAGAGAAAAGAAATAAATAACACCACTTTGTTTCTCTCAGTTGTGTCACTAACAGTTCTGTGACTTGCCAACAAAGGGTCATTAAAAGTTTCTGAACGTTTCCACAGAGGACTGATGCGGTATTAAATAAGTTTTCTCACTCACTTTAGTGAGATTTAATCAGCGCTTAAAAAAAAAACAAAAAAACAACTTTCGTTGTGGTTTGTTAAATTCACATCCACGTGGGGAAAGGTGTCTTTCTACTTGTTTTATTTTTGTTTTTTTTACCCCCCCACATTCACAATAGGTTGTCATTTTTTAATCATTGTTTTTCAGAGGGAACATGTGGTGCTGCGTGTCATATAACACTAATTTACACCTTGACGTTGCCCTTGCACTGTTGATAGGGTAATAGCAAAAAACGGGGTTTGTAAATGCTGTGAAAAGCAGCTTTAAAAAAAGAAAAGAAAAAGAAAAAAAAAAGAAACATAAAACATTTACAAAACAATGATCTAAAATGTACAATTCCAAAACGATGTGAAACTCTGATTAGATCTATGCTTTAGGCTCTGGCAATTTTTTTCCTCTTGTTCAAGGTTTAATACCCTTAAACAACAGATAACAGTTTGCAGGTGGTGGTTTCTGTAATTAAAGGACACCTCTGTGATAAAGCAACAGTGAACAAAAGAGGGAGGAGGGCAAGATAGTAACACATCTGCTAATGATGCAAGAGCCAAGAGCTGCACAGTATGACTGATTTCACTGTATGTGAGGCAGCTATTAAACGTATCATGAAAACAGTTTCCCTTCTTGTCCTGTCTTCACAGGATCATTACAGCAGTTGCATCGCTTGCCAAAGCGCCCCACTTTGTGCATTGCCTCCTAATTTTTATTAGAATTTTGTGTTTATTTTATTATTCACTAAGTTTTTCTGTTCATCACGTACATCCGTTTTATACAGCCTTTCATGTGAGTCATATGCAGAGGTCCCCTAAAGGAACGATCTCATCTAAACATGTATAGATGGATGCTTTAAATAGTATGTATGATGAACTTTGAAGTGCTAAGTTAAATGATTCCTGTGGGAGACAGTGAATTGCTGCTTTTCACAAAACATGCGGTGCATCTTTAAGCATGATGAAACGCACACATGCTGTATGACAATGTTAAGACCATCTTAAGATTTTGCATTTTACAGACCAAAGAGGTTTTTCCAAGATAGAATTCAAATGGCAGCAACTCTAATATGCTTTGATAAGGAAACACAGGTCTAATTGTAACTCTCACACAAGGAGCTAATGATGCACATTGCGCCCAGAGATGCCTTTGAAGTTTCTTGTGACTGTGGCTTGTCTTGTCTTGCAGATCAGTGTGTGGATAAAGCCAAAGTTGAAGAGAGTGAGCAGAAGGCTGCAGAGTACTCCAAAAAGGTGAGACATTAATCACTCCAACAGCTCCCTTGGTTGGCCAGCTCACATCAGGAAAGTTTTTTCTTCCTCAGAGCTCCCAGACAAGCTATTGATTTTCCATGCCCTGATCAATACCTGGCTGTGACGCTACATGATCCGTATCAGCATTACAAGAATCAATGCCGATGTTGTGATGTATACTTATTTGCGCACAGTGCCGGGACGGAGTTAAGTTATGTGCAGACTCTTTAGGTCCAGTTCAGCATTTTAATCTGGCTCCTTATGAGCCTCACGCTTTATTTGAGGTTTGCTTTAATGTAATTCAATTATTCGCTTGATTGAATGATAGTATTTATACGAGAGAAACAGCATTCAAACTCTTACCTATAGCAATATTTTTCGTATTGAAATTGTATTTTATAAAGCCTCATTACCACTGTCTGACGACACCAAAGGGGGTCCTGGAAATGTTTTTTTCTTAAGAGTCCTGTCCCACCATCCCACCGTGCACCCTGCTGGGCCAGTGAAATCATTGTAGCGACATGGCTTGGTTTCTGCAAAGGTTAGATCCATCAACATACATGAAAGCCAGACCTGAAACAAAGACAAAGGACAACAGGGCTCTAGGGCCATGAGGGCTATGAATAGAAATCGGCCAGAGAGTGTAAGACAGCGTGTTTTGGTGTCTGTTGATGTGCCCCGTGGCCAATCTCTGGAGACACCCTGCCGTTCACCAACCTGTGTGTGTGTTTACATCTGTGTACACATGTTTGTCATCTGCACATAGACCTACTTGTATCTCTTTTCTTGCAGTTTGATGAGGAGTTCAGTGCACGGCAGGAGGCCCAGGCTGAGTCTCAAAAGAAGGAAGAAAGGATCAAAGAGTTGGAGGGGAAGATACAGGCCCTGGAGTCCCAGGTAAATCCATAAAGAAAAATCCCACTACTCTACAAAACAGTGTTACATTCCCTGGAGATCTTTATATTCTATGTTCACCCCTCAAAAAAAAAAAAAAAAAAAAAAGAAGCAAGGGAAGATACAGGCCCTGGAGTCCCAGGTAAATCCATAAAGAAAAATCCCACTACTCTACAAAACAGTGTTACATTCCCTGGAGATCTTTATATTCTATGTTCACCCCTCAAAAAAAAAAAAAAAAAAAAAAAGAAGCAAGGGAAGTAACATAGTTAAAAATGTGCTGTCCGGAAGCACTTTTAATCAGTTTTTTAAAATGAAAAACTAAGTAATACAAATAAAATGTTTATCTTAAAATCATAGCATCGAGAAGTAATGGCGCCACTAGAAAAAGGTTTGATTTGGTCAGAAGGATACCTTTCCACCCCACTTACAGATGTGAAGCTGCAGTAAGTGGGAGTTATCATCCATGCAAGTACATTTGATTTAATAAAGGGTCAATCTCCTTCTTAAGTTGTAGCTCTTTATATGGGCGAATTGCTCTATTGAAGCTTTTCCTATGAAATTCTATCATCACAGAGATGGATTGCGTTTCTTTTCCTGGCCTCCACATCATTTCTTCCCAGGCAAAACCCTCCATTTTGAGCACAGAAAATGACTGCTATTTCCCCCTTAACCCAATTCCAAACACTTTAGTACTACCTTGGGACAAAAGGGCAGTTTGCCTCTCTGCTTAGGGAATTTAATATAAACCACCAATGAAAGATGGTATAGCTACATCCGTATCAGGGATGGCTTTTTCTTTCAAAAATTCATTTCTTGTTGCTTATGTTGGCACTTACCGTCTGATAAACTGCACCTGCATGTGGTTTTAACATAGTGTTCCTTCAGTCCTTTAGCGGCAATTCTTAGGCCCACAAGAAATGTTGTTACACTCTATGAGCTGTAGCTGTTGCCCTGGCTAAAGGTATCGTGATTTTCTCCTTAGAACCTAATTTGGGTGTAGGTCTCACGACTGCACTTTATACACCTGCATGCTGTGTCACCATTTGTTACCTGCATTTATAACCAAACCGGTTAATCACTGACTCGTTTCTTTAGCACTGCACACTCATTTTAATTAGACCGTCAGAATTTAAAGTTCTCTCTCCTCCTGCTTGGCCTTTTTTCTCCCTTGCGCCATCTTTCTTTGCATCAGGCTGTGTTACCTTTGCGTGCCCTCTTTCCCTTATTGGAGCTTTTTATGTTGTGTTTCCAAGTGTTTTATTCACTATAACACACCTTCCCCTCACCTTCCCCTGGCAGGCCTGTGTCTTTTGAAGACAGACTTACTGTGGTGCATTAACAGGTAGTGTAGTGCAGAGAAGCCCTGGAGAGTCAAACCCTCTTTTCCTCTGTTTGTCTGAATGCTCCTTCAAAGAGCGGTTACTGCTGGAGAGCTGCATGTCAACAGACATCAGCCTCAGCAGAGACACAAGTCATTTGTTTGGTGAAAACTTACATGAAGGACTTCAGAATACCTTCTATGCATCTGCACGTAAAACCGGTCTATACCATACATCCATTATCTATACACCACTTAATCCTCATAGGGTGGCGGGGGCCTGGAGTCTATCCCAGCTGACTCAGGGCAAAGGCAGGGGACACCCTGGACAGGTCACCAGTCTATCACAGGGCTACACTTAGACACAGACAACCAAGCACACTCACACTCACACCTACGGACAATTTAGAATCACCAATTAACCTCAACATGTTTTTGGACTGTGGGAGGAAGCCGGAGAACCCAGAGAGAACCCACACTGAACGGAGAGAACATGCAAACTCCACACAGAAAGATCCTGGTGTCCTAAGCACCGAACCACCTTGCAGCCTCCGGTATATACCATATTTGTAAAGTACAATTGAGAGCATATATATTTGTTTCTTTTTTATTGTGCATCAGTTTAATCTACTCAGATATAAAAGTGCAGTTAATTGTCACTGTGCCTCATGTATTGATTATATCTCTGCCTTGCTAGCAGCCATGGCCCAAGGGATGGTGTTTTTGGGTTGTTCGTCTGTACATCTGACTTATTCTTGTAAATGCAATATATCAGGAACGCCAAATTTGGCACAAATGTTCACTTAGACTTAAGAATGAACTCATTAGAATGTGATGATATAATGTCAGGGTCAATGTTGACACACAAAACCCATTTTTGGCCTTTTGTCTCTTAATTCATATGCTAATTATATAAATGTTTTGCACAGATTGCGTTTTATGTCCAAAATGACCAAGGCAAGCTTCACTGCCACCGAATGTTTTGCAAAGAAATACTTTCTTGGCCATTTTTCAACACAGTAACTCAGAAACAGAAGGGAGGATTGTGATCATATTTCACATGTGGTCGGATAATCTTGGGTGCCCACCTTGAAACACTCATGATTGCATAGATCTTCTGTGCTGCTGGGTTGAAGTTGTGTGAAGCATCCATGATTTCGAATTTATAGCTTTTTTTCCAGCAATATCTGTATTTGATGCTATTTTTATTGCCAAGGCTACAACTTGGTGTTCAGTCAGAACTTGCTTTATTGGCCGAGCATGAGAACACATACTGAATTTGTCTCTGGGTTAATCCATGTTCAATCTGACAGAATTCAGGAAATATGTTGCTGCACCATCTCATGTTGTGTTCATGCTGAAATTCAACAACATATGAGGCTTATTTCGCCCATACCAAATTTTCTCATACATGAAATTACCACCAAACAGAGAAACTGGTGATTTTTCAACACACATTTTTATGTATTTTGAAACACATCATGAGGTTCTATCACAACGAGACGGGTGAAACAGGATGTCAGTGCTGTACTAATAGCTCAAAAAGAAAAAATAAAATGCAAGACCAACAGCGACTTTTGAGTTTTGTTTCTGCAAAGAAATATAAATGTAGATCCATTGGGGAATGATAAATCTTTTGCATTTTTTTCTTATGTTGCTTGTAGAACAGCATCCATCCATTGCATTTTTGATTTTTGTCCCCATGTGAGTGCATTTGTAAAATTTGAGTTCAATGATGAATCGCTCTTCCATTATGATGTAATTGAATTGATAGGAAACAAAGCCGTGTACGTTATTTTCCTTTTGGTTTTGGGAGTGATGGTGTCATGTGTCCATCAGCAGTATCTTTCGCTGCCATTGGTAATCACCTGAATCATGTTGTCTCAAAGTTGAGATCAATTTAACTTCATGCCCTCTCAGGTAGCATCACCTGTCACTGCTACATGCATCTAATTGAGATGGCATGGTCTCTGGTCACTACATCGCTGCAGGTATCATCCTGTGCGTACAGGGATTTACACCCTTCAAAATCTTCATTATGTATATTTTATGAGCTGGACAGACATGGATGTAAACTGCAACTTGGCTGGTTGGCGGAGGCATACAACCATGAGACAGTAATTATAGTTTCATTTTAATGATGATGATTTAATGAGAGTTTATTTGGAACTGTCTGAGCTAAAGGTGTTTTCAGACATCTGAAATATGCAGGTTCTGTCATAATAACTCATCTCAGTTGTCTCTGATTTTTAGGCAGGCGGTCACATTGATAGTTAAACTGCAACCTTAAGCAATGAACAAAACAACAGTGTCATCCTCTCAGACAGTTTCTGCGACTTCAGGAAGACTAAGCTGTAAGAGTGTGTTTTGAAACCTATTGCACATTTGACACAGTTCTGTAGAAAAGCCATTAACTGTGAGAGCGCAGAACCTTTAAATCGGTGTGAGGACACGCATTCAGTTTGTCCATCAAAGCAGCTGTGCGATCACTGTCGTTTTGCTGAATATGAATGAAGTGAGAGCTAACCCTAACCTTTCATCTCCGAGACTGAATTCCTGTCAGATATTAAAACACATGCACGCCTGAGTCGCTTCTCTTCACCTTGTTTGTGAACCAACACATTTAATGAGAGTCTTTCTCCGGGAACTTTGGCATTGTAACAAGCAGCCTGTTTGATGTGTCTGTTTGATTATCTCCCAATTGAGTTGAATGGAGGTTCTGCTTGTAAACATCAACAAAGGACATCGAAATCACAACAAAGTGGAACTCATCCACCCTTTCCCAAACCTTTGCTTGCAACCATTCAAGGCAAAAAAAAAAAAAAAAAAGGGAAGCGATTCATTGAATTGGCTCTGGATGTGATGAATAATGTAGCACTGCAGTGGTACACTGGAACACTCTGCGCCATCCCATTAATAGGTTTTAACAACCTGGCGGTCTTGTAGCTGACCCAGCATGGCCCCAAGAGGGGCTGGAGGTGTAGCAGACCACATTCTCTGTCTTTTACTGCCAGACTGCCTTCTACCCTGTCTGATTATAGAATTTGACTCAACTGATAATGACAGCAGGACTCAGAGTGGTGTAACTATTATGTATGCTTTGTTGTTGGGAGATGGAGCCAGTTGAGTTGTTAAGCCAAACGCAGTTACAGTTATTGTCATTCAAGAGCGTCATTCAGGAATCCTTACGTTAACAGTTTTGCTTCATATGGCAAAGAGCGAGGTTTCTCAGAGAGCAGAACAAGTCATACCTGCTGAAAATCTCCCTGACGTGTTCTTAAAAAACTTAGTTATCTCAAAGCCTCTAACTTTTAATCCCTAAGGATGAAGAATAAAATGAAATTTGTCTTTACTTTAAATATTGCACTTTACTACCACCGAAAGATTTTCGCAAAATGAAAGTTCATTTTAAGCCACTGAAAGTTTCCATCTCTTTTTCCATTATACACATTAAATATTTAGTTCTCTACAGTCCATAGTAAGAGGGGTTCTGTAGGAAACTCCGTAAAAATATTACATTTCAGTTGCTGTGGAATATGTTCCCATCCTCTTTCTTTTGGCAAGGTTGCACAGAGTGAAATATCAAAGCAAAATGGGCACATTTCTAAAACAAAGACTGCACAGTGAAATCAATGCCCATCACACATCTAAGAGTGTTGATTTGAAATGTGTTTTGCGATGCCAAAAAAAAAAAAAAAAGGGAAAAGATGGAAATGGAAGAAGGGTTTTGAAGGTGCACCAACTGTCAGTGATGCTGTGCCTTGTTCCTTTCATGCAGTCATTGCTCTACACTGATGTTCTTTTGAAGATAGATTACATCTTGTTTTAGGTGTAAAAGTACAGTACACTCTGCCTTTTGCACATCAAATGGCTCATTCAGACAAAGACGGGAATATAACACTGTACTACCATTCTCATTAACTGTGTAATGGTCTTCCTCTTGCCTGCCTTTATTGTGTTTCCTTGTGAGTACTGTACCTGTTCTAGTGTACTAGTGTTCTTCTTTTCTGTCTATCTAACCCATCCCCATTTGTGCCTCTTTGTTGCCCTCTGTGTCTGCTATGACGTGTGTGTACCCGTGGTGGTGTGTGTATCTGTGTGTGTGTGTGTGTGCGTGTTGTATCTGCACAGTTAACTATTGAAAAAGACAAGCTCAAAGAGGCTCAGAGACTCATCAGGGAATCTGAGGCCAAGGTGGGTGTCCCCTTTTGCATGTGTGGCCCGTGGCGTAATCTCACATTCAATCAATTGCAAATCCAACTAAGAAACTGGATTGCGGTGCTGGATTTTGTTGAAGAAAACTCTCAAACTGATTATAAGACTGATTTTTATTTATTTTTTTATCCTATTTTTCTTTATTGCATGTTTTCCCCTTACATACATTTTAAATCTGTGTTTGATTTACCTGTAAATTCAAGTATTTGTTATGTGAAATCTCTTTAATCTTGTTATGCCAGACAAAAATCCCAAACTGGAATGCTATATTTATGATATAAATTAAATGAAAATATAACAGAATGCTTTATCGTTTGACATTACCAATCCACAAAAATGAATAATATCTCTTAAAAAAAACAAACCTGTAACAACGTAACAGTTAAAAGCTATGGCGAACTCCAGAGTTGTTTTTAGCCGCAGACATTACCTGCTTGTTCAATGCAATTTTCGTAAGTAAACACTTGTAATTGAATTTCTCTATCAGAGATGAGATTGGGGTAAAGATTTAATCACATAGCATTCAGAGTTAATTACCTGCCACGCTGACCTCCCCATTGAGTCCAGAACAGTATGAATCCAAATTGGATGGGTTAGATTTTGTATTAGCCTGGTTGTCTACTTTACATTAGGTTTCAGACGGGCTCTGCTAAAATAAAAATGATCACCCTCACAAGCTGGCAAGAAACACACACTTAAAACATAGTTCATTATGCACATATCAGAAGACTATATTGGTGTTACAGAAAGTTATTGGGGCGTACAACACATGATTAGCTGTATTTTTCTAAAATACACAGTGTGTCTCTGTGGTTGTTTAGAAATAAATGTTTGTACAGGCTCTACTTATAGTATATACTTTTGCTTGCTAGTTTTGACCACGTGTATTGTATATAGCATATCTACTGCATGCAAAACCTATACGAGCTACCTAATTACAATGCAAAACATGACATTTGATGTAGTCCCATATGGGTTCAGTGAAAACGGCCATTATGATTTAAGGAAAAATACACAGTTATTTATATACTGTACAACTTCTTTGGGATTTTTGTTTTCTTATCTACTGAGGAAGATGCCAGTGGCAATGGTAGAGAATCCCAAGAGTTCCATGTAACACTGGGCTTATTATTATTGGGTAGATCAGAGAGAGGTGGATAGAGAGATTGAGACTCGCAGGGCTCCTCAGTATGGAAACAACTGCGCTCTAATTTAGCAGCTAATTTGCTTCCATTCTCTCATATTAATCTTAAAAGAGAAAACGGGCCACGGAGGGCTCGAGATTGACAGACATGTAATCATTGGATGTGGATTTTCACTGAAGGGCTCTGGGCAATCTGTGCAAGAAGCTCCTCGCAGAACACCTTTTTAATTCCGGCCCTAATAAACAATCCACCAATGCTATTGTGTAATGAAACACTATGTAATGTCTTTAAATATGAAGCCAATTACATTCTACGCTCACAATCAAGTGACTGGGGAAAATGCAAATAGCGGGGAATTGGTTTTGGAAATGAGAAGTGCAAGTGGAAATGCTTTTTGGTAAGAGCCGGCATCTAATCAGCTCTGAAGATCAAACCCTGTCGGAGGTTGGGTGTCTGTAATTGTGGTATTTGCATAACTTTTTTTTTCCCTATTAAACATTTTTCTGTTGGCCTTCCCCCCCGAATATCACCGACTACCAGCGCATGTGTGATAGTGCTGACATGTCAAAGGACTGAAAGACTTTGTCTTATCAGTCCCAGGTCATAATTACATCCCTGTCTACAGTTTAATAGCCCACCATTGTGAAGGCTCATAATGACCACTTGATGGGAAGGCAACAGTCCTATCTCTGGTGAATTAAAACAGTGGTCATTCACAGGTTTTTCACCAACATTTTGCTTAGTATTTACACATGGATACATGGGGATTAGTGAACACAGTAGTTCAGCCGTTTGGCCAATTCACAACTCTTCATATGAAGCAGCATTTTCTCAGCGTAGAATTCCAGCATTCTCCTAAAATCAGAAGAACAGCTTGTTTTTAACATCGCTAGTGTAAAAATGCTTTGTGCTCTCATGGGCAAGTAATGTATAAACACATGCTGAGGAATTCACTACAGTCTTTTAAACCTGAGACCAACTAAGACATATTGTAAAATACGTCTGAGTTGTAATTACATTGATTCAACATTTTCTTCAAAGATGACAAAATGTGAAAAGGGAATTACTTACCTGTGTTATAAGCTGCCCAAATCATGGTCTCACATACATACAGTATACAATAGAGGTGAGTATACCACTGTGCAATATCACTTTGAAGTCTAATGATTCAAATTTGTGTCACTTCTCAGTAATTCCATTATTTCTAAATTTACAGACACAATATCTCCTCTTATAAACAGTCAAAATGAAACATGTTAGAAAGACTATATTGAAAATACAAGCCATGAAGTCTAACCTCAATGCAACAGAAGTGAATAACCTCTGATCACTGACACACAAGTTTGAAAAACAAAATGCAGCTGTGATTTCCTGTTAGCCTGATTGTATGAGCATGGTTATAAAAGGAGGTGTGAACATTCAAACTTTCTCAGTTTTGGAGCTGTAAACTGTGTTTATCTGCAGTTTACAGCTTTTTCATGATTCCACATGAAAAAAAAATCGTCTGGGTAATTTAAAAATCTGATTGTGAAATTCAGCAAAGATGAAAAGGGATACAGGAAGACTATAGACCAACTGAAGCAGTAATCAGGAGGTATAGTACGAGTCATAGTACCACTAATCAGAGCCACAGTGGCTGTCTTTCTAAAAGGATGGCACAGACAGTAAACTACTTGCACAATGTAGCTCTGAAAATCAGATGGCTCAGGGGTTATCAATGGAAATCATAGATTTGTGACAGCTCAGACAGTGCAAAGTACTTTGCATTTTGTCAACCTCTGTGGACAACATGTAAGAAAAACAATAAAAGAAACATTGTGTGCTCTTTGGCACAAAACTACAAGGTGAATCTTTGCAAAAGAACATGAGAAGGAGCCTAATAAATACTCTGAGAAACATATAGTCAGATGAGACCAAGATACATTTGTATGGCTCAGTTGAGGCCATGACTATCACAGTGAATGCATAGTCCCAAAAGTGAAGCTGCATGAGAACATGCATGAGAACAAAATGAGATGACACTCATCAATGGAACCTTTATTATCTGTGGATATACAGAAATAATGGTATGATAACAATCAAAAACACACCCGCAAAATCACACAGGAGTTCCTAAAGAAGAAAAAAGTGAAAACTTTGACCTTGCTACGTGTTGTCTGTCGTCTGACTTGAATCCAATAGAACATCTTTTGGGGTATTTAAATGAGAAGATTGGAAAAACTCAAACCCTCAAGGAGAGAACAGCTGCAAAAAAATGTCTAAGAATGCCATAATATCTTTTCAGAAATGTGTCGTCCTCCATGCTGAGGAGGATTGAGTCTGTCATCTAAGATAAAAGTGGACATATGAAATATTAAATTGAAAGATCCAGTATTGGACAAGTAGATCAAATAATCTCTGATTATGGGTCAGTTGAAAAATTGAAGCTGTCAAAAGGCCCATTTATGAGCACGCGTTAACAAAAAGAAAATGACAGTGCAAAAGTCATCTTGTGATATTTTCTGAACCATATCTAGTTGCATGTCCCAAATATACAAGACAAAATGCATAGAATACTACTACTACTAATATTATATATATATAGCACAATCATGGCCAAGGGACTTTCACTTTCACAAAAATACTAAAAATGATAATCTCCCTCAACTAATCTCCCTCAACATGTGGGCCATCTCTGACACCTCTGTCTATATTTACAGATTGCAGCCGGACCGACTGCACCTGGAGCCCCACCTCCACCTCCGCTACCAGGGGGTGCAGCTGCTCCACCACCTCCTCCACCCCCTCCACCATCTCCTCCAGCTTCAACCAGTGCTCCATGAATCCTCCTCTCCTTCCTTCGCCCTCTCTCCCCTCTTACCCCCATCCCTAACCCTCTTCCACCCCTCTCTCCCCTCTTTCACCCCTCTC